ACAAACACGTGACTGGTAAAGATTCCATTTTGTTGTTGCAAAACATTTCTTTACTTGTTGGGTTTGTAAGAAAAAGAAATTCGAGTGTGTCTTTCAGGTGAGTTTGCATAACATTTCTTTATTTGTTTTTTTCTTTTCTTCACTTATGTTCGAAATATATATATTTTTAAATGTCAGAAACTTCGGCTTGCCAAAGGCAAAAAAAATATTCTTTAAAACTTTTGATCTGTGTGTGTGACTAAGAAATGGGGTCTTTACTGGTATTGCTGCACAACAAAGCATTAACACACTCAGTTTTGGCCTCTTTGTTTAGACCACTTTCTATAAAAACAAAAAATTTGGAGTATTTCTTTTTTTTATACGGTTGTCTATCATGATCATATTCCAAATATTTTTATTATTCTAAAGATTATGATTTGATCCATTCAGGTGCTTGGACAATCCTTTAAAATATTTTGTTTTCTTTCTCTTGGGGTCCTCTCTTCTCTGATCCCTAAGTTAATCTTTGAACACTTTTGTCTTTATCATGCTTATTGCCCCTAATTATGAACCCTCATAGCTTGTTTTTTCTTATAATTACTATATGTATAAAACTTATATATACATACCCCTCCATACTTTATTTGAGTTCCTTAAATACTTGAAGTTGTCTTAAAGGATATTATTTTCTTAATCTCTATGTATTTAAACTACATAAATCAACTTTCTCCAACTCATTGCTTCGAGTGGTTGTGATCTGACTAGAGAGAAATCTGTATACAACCTGGTCTTTTATGCATTCATGTTTTCGTAACTGATTGTATAGTTGTGATTTTCATTTAGACACTGTTTTATGGTTTACAGGGTTTAAAGAAAGGCAGAGAAGATAAAGAAGAAGTGCAAAGATGTTTACTTGCATAAACTGTACAAAAATGGCAGACGGAGGTGAGGAAGAAGAAGATGAAGCGCGTGGAAACACAACTCCCAACACTAAAGAAGCCGTTAAAAGCCTAACTACACAGGT